TAAAGAGTCTGTCAGGTTTACTTTCTCTTGTTTCTCTTTAGGCACAAAAAAGTTTACACAATTAACTGACGTACCGTTCAAACGTAAGTTATCACTTCATTTCTACGAACTGGTCTTCTTATCTGTCTTCTTTCGTAGTAAGAGATATGAATCTGTAAAAGAAGAAACGTCAAGTGATTGTACTGTCGAAGAATTTACCTACAAGAAATGATAAAATTTTTTGCATTCTAGATATCTATCGTATCGTAGACAATGCCATTGCTGCAGCAGAACGTGTTTTGGCGCCGCAAGATCACAGTGAAGAAGACAATGATCTTGAAGCTCTTGTAGAAGAACGACAGTGAACGAAAACAACACAGAAGAAACAGCCCTAGATTAAGCGACAACCCACTTCAAGAACAGAATCGGGTAAAGTAGCCAAACGCTTTTGCGGTAAAGAACTGTTTTCTGATCGGTCAAGCACATCACCAATCAAAGGCACTATTCATTTGGCTCAAGAAAGTCAAGTGCATGGCATCCGACAAAAATGCGTTTTGCACGAGTAGGAAATATCTCCACGCAGCGGCCTAACCAGGATTTTTAGGCCAAGGCAAGCTTCTAGCGTGTCGGAAAAAAACGATGAGCAAAATGGACAAGACTTTTATTGATGGACCCAACTGGCCGGGACAGTTCTTTTTGTATATAGCTAAGGTCCGGCATCTTGTAGAAACTTGAATGAAATGGAATGAGGTTCTTTTAGTCGAATATGCATCAAACTCAAATCTTAAGCCTAGGTCAGATGTGTTTTAGTCTATTTTTAATGTCTCTGTTTATAACATTTATATTTCAAATTCAAACACCAAAATCAAGACGACGATGATGCATTTTTGTATATAAGTTAAATATTTCATCTGGATTTATATCGAGATCTTTATGAACGTATGTAGCAGGAGGTGCGTTTAGTCTATTGTATTTCATCGTAGACCGACAATAACTTTTAATTCTCGAAAAAAATTACATTTACTATCTAATTTAAAAATAAACAAACAATTCTGAAAAAGTAAAATTTTAATGCGCAAATCTGTAAATGAAACAGGCAATTGCCCATTTGCTCCCATCCCCCTTGGTTACGCCGCAGTCGACAACGGCGCTAAAAATCTCCAACTGTGACAATGCAACCATTATATCTCGGCGACGAAAGAAGTTAGAGAGTTGTCTTTTTTAACGGTAGTGGGCAAAGGTTAGACAAATAAAACAAAAAAAGAATCAAAGAAAGTCTATTCAGTACGAGAAAAGTTAATGCAATTTTTTTTCTCTCAAATCGACGATACAATACCAGCGCAAATCTCACATATGTATATATATACGTCTAGCTCTCGGGGTCAAGTTATGCCTCTAGCCTTCTTCGCCGTCTATTGTGAGATTAATCACTTTAAATTATAATTGAGTTGAAAGGTTGAAATACGACGAAGTAGTACAAATTGATGACCTAGAGGATCCGCAGCAGTTCGAAGTACAACGGCGTCCGACAACAGCAATCCAATTAGATGAACGCTTTTGTGTTCTATAGTCTCAGCAAATTCAGCTATATTTATGAAGGAATACTAGCGTATTACTGAGGAGTATTTATCCGATCGCAGACTTGAAGAACGCAGGAGTGACTACAAGATGAAACCTGAGCCTCGAGCGCAAGTATACTTCTTCCTTTTGTATTTGTAGTTGTCCTCACTCTAAAACACGATTATATATTGTTTCATCAGATTCCTGATTAAATTGAGTGAAAGAAGAAACAGTGAAAAATAAATTCTTGTGTTATATCCTCAAAACAACTGAACAATGTGTCACCTGTTGGTATCGTCTACTGATACCGTAAACGACAGTGTTCTTTAGATTGATTTAATCTTAAGTATTTTTTTGTTTGGTGTAAGCAGATGGTGGATTTTTTGTACAACTTGGTCGCACACTTGGATAATTACTAGGTCCAAAACACCCAGTGATATATGGATATGTTTGAGTGACGAAATAAGCATAATTACCAATAGAATCATAAAACATTCCATTGCACACATCAAAACCGCTCTTAACTTGACGACCTGATGATAGATAAGGACCATAAATAATATGTCCATCTTTGGCAATACCAATAACAGTTAATGTTTTGTAATTAGAAAATGAATTTATACTGTACGTTGCTATACTCGACTTACATAATGGAACAGATGCGCATGGTAGAACTTTGGTTGATGATGTAGCATATTTTGCACAACCCGAGCCCATATGATAATGTAACAGACCACCTTCTTGACAATGAACTAAACATTGATCAACATGCTCAGTTGGGCCCTTAGCCGGATAAAAGGGATCTTGACTATCTCTATTATTGACATTCAATATAGCCACACCATCAACTGATACACCAGCAAGTACATTTATCACCATGGGAGATGAATATGAGACATAGTTGGAAGCTTTTGGTACACGCATTTCACCTGATACGTTACATACAACGCTATTGATATCTCTTTGTGTTGTAATTTTAATATTTGGAGAATTGATCGATACATCGGGATTAAAATTCACAACAAAATCAAGGTTTGTTTCACTGAATAATGATGATACATGTGGACAGTATAGTGGTAACCCATTTGATTGTACACGAATTTTAACAACTGAACCACTCTTGAAACAAGTAACACACATTTTATGCTGAAATACACATGATCCAGAGGTGGTAGAGCCTGGACAGGACATACCGGTTAATGAAGGACAAGTAACATCGGTACCGGTTGTGGCTATGATATTGGATACTGGACCACTGCTGCATGTTGTTTTAAAGTTTTTCGCTAACTTAATACAGTCTGATAGAGAATTACTAGCAGTTGCATGAACATGACAGATTAAATTAAGCAGAAGCAGACTACCAATCATATTGAAAATCATCATTGAATCGGTGTCTTAATTTTGTTCAGAAAGGCGCTTGTGTCCACCTCCTTACCGTATGCAGAAAAACTTAGGTTATTTCAAAAGTACAATCAAACGTTGATGAATAATCGCATAAGAAAAGACTATGATTTTGAGCAGGATATCGTTGATGGACCTGATCAAAAAATTTACAGAAATATCGTCACCCTATAAGCACTTTATACTTGCTAGATAAACCCCCTCTTGGTTTTCAATTTATTGTGCTCCTTGGACCATGACGTAAATACTCGTAGGTGATGATAACACGTTTCATCTTGTTTACCATTTACCGATAATCATTACAATCACGTCAATTTGTTTTGAATGATCATTAAATGGAAAATATATATATGTGCGCCGCCTTGTCTCACGGAATGATTATTGGCACTTCTCGACGTGTCGAGAAGAAACTATTGACACCCACTAGGAGTTTCAACCAGAAGCACACTTCTAAAGAGAGACTCCAAAGATAGGACGATGAACATATGTTTTTTTCTATTTAATAATCATTCAAGAGAAACTGACATAGTTGTGATGATTATCGGTTAATGGTAAACAAGATGAAACATGTTATCACCACCTACTAGTATTTACATCATGGTCTAAAGAACACTGTTAATTGAATTTTATCATGACTTCGCTTCTTTCATGACTTTGAATCGAAGACAAAGCGCACATAATAAAAATAAAAAAGCTAAATATTGAGAATACTATATCTCGCATTAAATGTGATAAAACAATGATCTGGGATAATGTTGATATCGATGAAGGTGAGACTATTGTCAGTTTGGTTTCATTTGTTAAATTGTTACGAATAAAAAGCTTTTATCGATGAATTACACGAAGATGTTTCTGTAGTTGATAGTAAAGATGCCTCCGATATTCAACGATCAAACAAATATGATTCAGATATGCTGGTGTTTTAGCACCAGTGTTCTCGAAACAACAAATTCTCGAAAAAAACGAAAAATAACTAGAGTTGGGATAAAAAAAATGCTCAGTATTCCTGAAGCTGTTTTTCACCCAAAAACGGGATATTTCACAGGTAGATGGAGCTGAGTCTTACCTATCGATTGATGTAAAAATTACCTTAAAATTCATTAGCGTTAATTAGTACTAATCAATTTCCAGCGAGCAAGTATCGACTGATCATAATTATCCCAAATGGGGCAATTATGATCGGTACAGCAAAAATGACTGGAATGAACTTAAACAACTTCGTTTCAACGGAGAATTTTAAGCAAACAAATTAAAAAATAGTTCATTTTGTACAGAGTCTTAGCTCTGTGTCTCATGTGAATTGCACATCATTCGGATTTGACCTGAATTACTTAATGAAAAATGACGAAAATTAAAAGAGATGGTCATTTTCTCTATATTATGCTTTTGAATAATTATGATCATTTTACTATTTTTTCTGGGGTAATTATGAACAATCCGTGAAAATTACACGGAATAAACAGAATCTGACGTGTACCGGTCTCCAAAAGTCGGCTTTTAGTCTAGTTCCAGTGAAAAATATCTTCAGAATATTATAATCAATTACATATGTAACTAGAGACCAAGTATCCTTCGGGAAGATTGGAAAGTCGACTGAGTAATAAGGTAAACAGGCGAAATTGGAACATCTACAAACACAGTGTGACTACTTTTCAAGATGAATTCCTGTATTCGTATATCAGCTGATTCATTATCGTGTCATATGTTCTACTATAGTTTAGCTTTCATTATTCCAGTACTGTAACATATATTCACTATGAAGTGAATCCCGTAACAATTTATTATCTCATAGCAGAAACGATAGAGTTGTCTCAAAATTATACTCATTTTGTGACAGTAAACATACGATAAATACAGCAAATATCCGACAACTAACTTCAGATGTGTCATCTACCATCCCTGCACTTTCGAATCATCTTTTCGCAAATCTGTACGATCAGATATAACTAAGAACGAGTGACTGACTGCATCGAGAAAACACAGTGTGGAAAGAAAGAACTAGATGCCAACTATGCTGCGCATAAATTGGAAAGTCGACTGAGTGGAACGGTAAATAGACGAAATTAGAAGATTCAGAAACTCACAACAGTTCAATTAGTTGTCAAGAAGAAATCCTATATGCGCCTATATCGGCTGATTCATTATTCTTCTACTATAGCTTACATCATATCCAGTACTGTAGCATATATATATTCACTGTGAAGTGACTCACGTGACAATTAATTATCTCATAGCAGAAACAGTTTGACTATTTTTCAATAAGAATTCCTATATTCTTATATCAGCTGATTCTAACAACTGTCTACGCATCTTCCATGGCATATTATTCACATGGAGATATCAGCTGACTCATTATCCTGTCATGCATTCTACTATAGCTTTTATGATATAAAGCACTATAGCAAATATTCACTACCAAGGATATTACGTGACGATTAATTATCTAACAGAAAAACGATAGAGTTTTCTAAAAAATATACTAGCTTTGTAGGAGTAATTACAGAGTAACTACCGCGCATATCCGAAAACTAATTTCATTTGTGTCATCTACGATCTGTGAGCTTTCGAATCATCTTTTTCCGAAATCTATACGATCAGAGATAACCGAGAACGAGTGTTTTGCAAGAACACGAAAACAGAGTGTGAAAAGAAAGAAAGAAAGAATTTTGGTAGGCAACGCTCGAAACTAAACAGAATAAGTCTCCCTGTCGTTTCACTCAGTCGACTTAACTAGAGATCAACTGCCCTGCGGGAAGATTGGAACGTCGACTGAGTGAAACGGTAATCAGATGGCATTAGAACATCCACAAACTGATAACAGTTTGACTACTTTTCAAGAAGAATGTGCATTGCTGTATCAGCTGCTTCATTATCGTGTCACATATTCTACTATGCTATAGCTTTCATCACAGACAGCACTGAAGCATATATTCACTATGAGCGATATCACGTGACGATTAATTATTTTACAGAAAAAGCGATAAAGTTTTCTAAAAACTATTCTCATTTTGCAACACTAATTATACGATAGCTAAAGCAAATATCCTGAAAAATACCTGAGATGCGTCATCTTCCACTCCTCTACTTTCGGAGAAAAATGCGTGTTTTTAACCAATACTGTGTATAGAATGAACATCGTTGATTATAAATGCAATTCTGTTGATTAAGATTAGCAGAATAATTTCGTTAGAACCTTAATTAGCCGTCGGGTAACGAACAAGTTGAACTTTTTATGTACATTATCAAATTCTCGTTCTAATAGACCAAAACGTTTTTTAAAAATACATAACGTCAATGGTCCCGCTTGGAATACAACATACAACATACCGAATGACACAAAAATGACGTGGAAAACATAACTGTTTCTCAAAAGCTTGAAAAATAACACAAATAATTTCTCAAAACAAGATGCTTGTTTTAGATAAATTTCCACACTAATGCGGCTGTAACACCATTAACTGACATTATCATTAATAGAATTCTTCTTATTTTCATTAAACTACAAAGATAAAAAGATTAAAGATTTCGGTCTGTTTATACGGCCATCTTCATTACTTGTGCAAAAGTGTTACATTCACGTAGAAATAAAATCCATGTATATATATATATATATACACAATGTGAATATACACTATGTGTCACTTCGAGTTCGAGATCTGGTATGAATTGAATACATATTAGGGTTTAAGATTGCTTCGGCAATACTGACTCCGATACTTCGAAGTCAGGCTGTCTTTTCACAACTACTAATTGGTTTTTGTTTCATTGAATAAAAACTGAATAAACCATTTTTTCCGATTAGGAAACTGTTTAACGTTGATTTTTCGTATCTGGCACGAATATAAATAACACAACACCCAAGTAAGCAGAAAAAAAGATTGAAAAAATTTAATCTGTTACGTTTATATTTTCTTTTTGACTTCGTTGACTTTGTCTTCGGTTTTGTTCTTAACTTTTTCTTTGACATTGTTTATTTGTTCGTCAAATGCATCTTTAGTTTTCTTCACTGCGTCGTCAAAATCTTTGCCAATTTTCTCTGCTGATCCTTTTTTGAATATTCTACCAAATAATACCAACAACAAGATAATGGCGATTATTAAAAGTACATAAAATTTAATACTATGGGCTTTTTTGTGTGAAGCATGAGGGTGCATTGTCTGAGTTATTTTCTTTACTATATCAAAATTTTGTCGAAATAAACTATAGTTTTCTCAGTGGCGTACAAATGTTAAAGTTTGAAACGTTTGTAATTAATTTAAAAAGAAGCAAAAGAAATGATTTTTTGCAAAAGAAAAGGATTCTTTTCTTTTCTTTTCTTTTTCTGCTGTGTGAAGAAACAATCATGCCATAGCCGTGTGATCCATCAGCTTCTTTATTTTTCCTTCACATGCCACTTACACATATGAAGAGTTTCTATAAACAATAAAAGGGTAAACGTTCATCGTATTATGAACTGGTGTACAAAATCACATGTCCGTTCCACTGTCATGTAAAACTGTTCTTTTCCTTTTGTATGTTATCTGCACTAAACATAAAGTGTCGCTTCTTGTCGCTCTCCTACTTTAAAGATCCTCTCTATCAGAAATGTCGAGTTTCTTCATATGTGTGGGTATTGTGATTAACATATGGGTGTATAACAAAAGTGTCCTCTCCTTCGAAGAAACTACTTTTGGTAGCTCCAGAATGAGTCTTTGACTATTTGCCAGCAAGTTTTTCAGAAGCTATGAAAAACATTTGGGTTTTTATACAATCTGTTATGTTGAATCTGAGACTCAGTAAACAATTGTGAGGCTCACACCTTGCAGAGGAAACATTTCTTACCAAACTGAATCATCCCGCGCCTTAATAGGCTGTTTGAATCAAAAGTTTTAACTGTTTTACTAAACATTTTAAAAATCATTCCCATAGGCTACCGCCATCAACTTTTCACCATACACGCTTCAAAACTTTCCAGACATTTCGTCCAGAATTGTCTGGCAGAGATCAACTTGACCTTGAATTGAAGCTAACACCTGTGACTATCCAGCGACATAGCTCGGTTTTGGGTTTTTGACTTTGATTCTAATACAGAAAAGCGTTTATGGAAAATCTCTAAGAGGATTTTGGATTTTTTCAGTTTTGGTGGCAGCCAAAAAAAACCTTCATTTCGAAACTTCAAAAATCGAACCCTGTCCAACTCCAGTTACAAGTATTCGCATCATTTTCTTTAGCATGTATTCGGAAAGAAAATTTTGGTAAGCGGCAATCCCTACTTTTTGACTCTTAATGTGGTGACATATCACGAACGCAGATAGATGAAGAAAATAAAATTTTGATACTTTGATATCGACGCGATTTTCTGAAAGTTTTGTGCAGAGAAAAATGCTGTTAAAGGCAATTATTTAATTATTAAAATTTCCCTACTGTTAATTATTTTCATTGACGCTAATGAACGAAGCAGATTCTTATCATCTTGGTTATCATTGCTAAAAGAGAAAGCCATTTGATTCTTTCATATCGACGCTTACTGAATTATTTACCTATAGACGATAGTGGTCGACAATTACCTGATGTGACTAAAAGGTAATAAAAATATTTATGTGTAATGTTTGTTTTATTACCTTCCTCTGTGACGTTTCTTTTTTTCCTCTATTCAACTATTCAAAGTACGTTTACGTTTTGACTGAAGAAAACAAATGTCAGTTCGACAATGTGAAACAATTTAATTTACTACAAGTTTGGGTTGTGAGAAAAGCTGGAGATTCCAAGCACTTTTCTGAATTGCTTTTTACCGAGGATATAAGTTATTGCTGAATGCGACAGCTCTTTTAGAAGCAATAGTTTAATTAGATAACCAAAAAAGAAAACTAAGCGAAGAAATCTGCTAGAATAAAATGCCATGGTCTTCTAACATGTCGTGATAAATTGCTAGTTTGACTGGCCTTCTAACGCAATTGGTCTATTGGTTTGCGCTAGTGTTGTCAGTAACCTTCTATTATGGCCCGTGAAATGTTGACTTGGGGCGGATTTCTATATAGGATAGAGGTGAAGCAAAGTTCGAATAATCAGAATTTCTAGAGCTTTTCCTAAAACTTAAATATCTCGGTAAAATTTAGAATTCGACGTGAAACCACTAAAAACACTATTACCTGTCATACAATCACTTAAGTCTGAAAATAACAAAATCGTAAAGTCAACGCCGCTCGTGCTGTTTAAGTGCACGAGTTACAGACTATCACCTTTTTCAATGATGAATAATTTGAATGAAGTCAAAATTGAACATAGTACTTCTTCATCATTAGGAAATGGAGAAATACAAGAAATATCAGCATTTCGATGATAATTTGGTATTTCTTGCATTGACGATGATGCTGTTTCGATTATAAATAAAATATTTCCACCAACATTTGCTCTATTATAGAGCAAATGTTGGTGGAAATGTACAACAATAAAAAACGAAAGTTTCATTTTTTATTGTTGCTGTGAAATATGTAAAGCAGATAGTACGCCCAACAAGCTTTTGAAGTTGACCAATAGTTTCATCTGATACGCTTATATCTCTATATAAAATACCATCATAATATGAAAATAATTTCACCTATTACATCATAAAATAATTATGAATTGAATAACATCGTAAATACAAATCATCACCATTTGCACAAGAAAGAGCTTTATTAATCAAATATTTAATTTCTAATATCTATTGATAAAATATTTTTAGTTATGTTATAGTGGTTTTAATGGCAAAATATTAGTATTTATGATACACCATTTATTATAGAAAGAAGTTCGAGTTCAAACGAAAAAAGAAAGACACGGTAAGAATTAAATGGGATCAATATTCATCAAGTTTTTAACCGTCTTATGAGTAGACAGCTGAGGGTGAACATAGAAAAATATGATCAATACTTCATTCAATGCATCCGCGGCTTATCTGTTATTCTTATCCTTTACGGTAATATTATCCGCTAAGTGTACTTTTAGTAGTTGTTATAAACTGATTAACATTTATTCTGCTATTCATTAACTGACACACATAACAACATAGAAAATTCTCAATCGTGCTCGTAAATTCTATGTAAACCTAAAACAGAAAAATATGTCGCATCATTTAACTACACATGTACTTTATTTTTCTTTACGTTCTTTTCTTAGAACAAGCAAAAAGCATAAAAAAAAATGAATATATAATTCATTATAAAAAATATGAGAGAGCGATAATAATCATGATGACAAAAGAGAAAATATTTACTCATCACATTTTTTATGCGTTTTTTTTTTCTTTTTTCTACGAAAGAAGCATAAACAAGGAAACCATAACGATGTTAGTGAAATGACACATTAACAAAAATGTCAACTTATATAACATGGCACGTCAAATTCATACCACTTTCAGATCATAACCAAATACAAAATATGAACATATTTCTCTAGAACTGAAATGGGTAGTTCGCTGTCATCGTCCATTCCAAATTATAGCACAAAAATTCAGACAAAAGATGGGAAAACATTTACGATTTTCTATCACGATTTGGTCGACCACCTGTTGTTACTTCGTAAAGTCATTGCTCATCCGGAAATGACCCAGCAGGGTGAAACTCTCAATTATTTTATTAAAGATTACTGTAAACGAATGGCACAACAAGAAATGAAAACTAAAGCTCAACAGTTAAAATTACCATGGCAAATCGAGTGGATCTGGCACGTTCATCGCCTTCATCCACTTGCCTATCAAAACGACTGTTTAAAACAGCTCAACGGTCAACTGGTCGATAAAACTGTTCGAAAATTATTTTATAAAAAAAAAGACCCAGTCGTCGTTTTCACTTCGACCAAAGATTCATCATTCGTTCCCTCAATCGATTTAGCAAAAGCTGTACTTCGTCAACGAGATTTTCTTGATAAATTTCAGAGACATCAACTATTTGCATTTGATTTACGGAAGCTCAATCGTACCACATTTCAAAATTTGGTGCAAAATTATATTTCGTTTTTGAAACTGGCCACGAAAAATGAAATGATCGTACCCACGTTTGACATTGACATTATGTGGCATACACATTTGAGATATCCGTCACGTTATCAAGAAGTTTGTATCGCTTTGTGCGGGTTTCTTCTGGATCATGATGACTCGATCGAAAGCGGCACTCTGACAAATGCCTATCAACAGACAGCTGACCGGTGGAAAAAAGCCTATCGGTCGGAGTATGGCCAAGATGTCGATCGTAATCATTTACAGGCCTCTAGATATCTTAGTTCGTGTGCTATGGTTTTTATGCCCGTTTTTATTGGCGGTGGAGGATATTCGTCTTGCGGTGCAATTGGAGGCGATGGTAATTGCGGCGATGTAGCGTGTGGTGGAGGTGGAGGTGGGGATGCATGCAGTTCGTGTGGTAGCGGTGGAGGTGGAGGTGATAGTGGCGGAGGTTGCGGATCGAGTTGTGGAGGGGGATGTGGAGGTGGTTGTGGTGGAGGCTGCGGTGGTGGTTAAGACTTCCAGAATGCTGAGAAATCGAAAAATTGACTTTGTTTTATATGTTTGTAAAGAATTTATGTATTTGTATTTTTGATAAGCTACAACATGATTTTCATCTTGAGCTAAACTCACTACACAGATACTCCAGACCCTATCTGAGATTCTAAATTTCTTTCGAGGGATGTGAATGTGGCTGGATGAAAACCAGGATCTCCAGAAAATCCAAAGAATATCATGTCACAAAATTCCGGGCAAAAATACATCGATTTTCTTTTTCGCCGTTCTATCTCTGATATAAATTTGAGCTCGGACGTGTGGTCCGCATTTGGCAGCAAGGTCAAAAAAGAGGAGGGGTGGAGGTCCGCTTAAATCCAACTGTTTAGAACTTGTGACGTTTGGTTGATGACTTATCGATGTTTTTAAAACAGGTGTCAAACTTTTTGTTGTGCGCCTACATGTGCTTTCTTCGTCTTACTGAGTCAGATGTCAACCGAACGAGCAAAAACACTTGAAGAATAAAATGCGCTTTTTTCTAGCTCTTAGCACTCAAAAATTAAAAAGGAAGAGTTCAAGTAGACGAAACTTGGAAATTGTTCAGTATACTGTAATAATCTTGCAAGTACGCGAAAACTGACTTATAACTGCTTCATTTTGCGTTACTGGATTCAGAAGAGAACAGCGACCAAATACAATATTTAATTCATTTGTCGCTAATTAGAATCATTAATTCGATTTTTACTATTAGAACATGATCAAATTACATGGAGTTTCAGCACATTATGAGATTTCTTTATTTTTTGTGATTGTAAGCCAGTGTTCGCATGTGTAGGAGATTGCGGTACGCTGAACAACTTTCATAGTTAAAGTACTGTTAAACCTGTTTCAGGAAGTATGTAAGGGAAGTACCCTTTCTCCAATTCTTAGAATTACTTTATTAAAATGGTAAAAAAAGAAAGTACCATTAAATAAAGTACAACGTGCGGCATCTCGAATAATGTGTGACGATTTCACCTTATCATCATCTTGAGTTGCCTGTTCATATAGCTCGGAAATCTTACAAGAGAAATATTAATTTACGTCGCTTTTTCGCAATTCTTGTTAAGTTTGTTTTCTCTTTTCTATCTGTACGTGAACTCAGTTTTAGTAAATAAATATGGAATATGGAACTATGATGGCTTTCTTGAATATGGAACTTTTCCGGCTTTCTCTTCGGGCCATGGTAGGCAAGTCTTTGAAACGAATTGCTTGCTGGCAGAGCTAAATGTAAAAGCTAAGCTCATTTGAGCAGAGTTCATGCATCGTTATATGTGAAATTTTCTATTTTAAATGTTATAGTTTGAAAATCAATTAATATCGCATTAAGTCCAGAGTACTTACTTGCCATTTTTACTGTAACTTCGAGTACACAAGTTACACATTATGCTCAGCTATTTATCAGCAAAAGATCGGCTGAATTTGTGGAGATATCGGACCGTCAATATCATCTCTTAACACGCCAGAAAAGTAGTTTTTCTTAGTTTTTCTAGTTGCAGTTTCTAGTTTTCCAAAAGTAGTTTCGGCCATTAATGATTTCTGGTACTTGTTCAAAAGATAATTACTTGCTATGTGTGAAATGCGTATTCACTTCGTGCTAGCAACAGTTTTTACAACACATTGGAATAGAAAAAAGTGCTTGTTTTCAGAGTACGTTCTGCTCATATAATATTCCCAAGCTTTTTTGTAACACATTACTAAAAGAGTGAAGAGGAGGGACGCTTTTCACTTCGACATTGTATCTTACGCTTTTGACAATATTTTCTGAAATGTTACGTCATCCCGAGTGAAAGATTCACTGCCGTAAACTGCAGTATACGTTGAAATACGACGAAATACGGCGGTCGCACACGTTGATGGATACGATGATACGTAAACGATGAAATACGATGAACTTATGACAGTCATATGAGATTGTATACACTAAGTCAAACTTTTCAAAAAAATATCAATGAAACATCATATACGTCAACGTACACAAGCATCGTATATGATCGTAACCTGACGTATTGATAGTTTGTTAATAAATAGTCGCTATAAAGGGCCACTGAAGTCTGAGTCACATGTAAAAGTGAATTTTAAAACTTTTCTTACTTCGCAGTCTCCTCAGTACTCAGTCAGATGCTTAGTTAAAAAGGAAAAGCCTAATTACGGTTTTCTCAAGAGGAAAACATCGAAAAGACTCGAAAGTCAAAGCAGAAGCAGTAAAAAAATGGTCAGATATTATATTTTAAACATTTTTTTTATAACTTCGAGCTCATTCAAATAAAAAGCACAATAGTTTTTTTAGTAGAAAGCTTTAAAAGTCAATTTTTCCCCGAGCAGAAGTGACGTTTAACAAGCAAAAAGCAACAAAGTTATTGAATTTTTAACATATTAATTTAATTTCATTAAAGTCTTCTTACCTACCTACTCATGCTTCTTCTACCTTGTAATTTCGAAGCTGATATAGTCTAATAGGTAAGACGTGAGACTTGTAATATTAATATAAGCTATACTCCTGAGTCCGATCCTCGCTATCAGCATAGATATATTTTCCTTTTCTTTTTTCGGCGTATCTATCGTCGTAAACGAATTAACTTAGTAAGTTAGATGAGATACATATGTGTGTGTGTTAGTTCGCCAGATCAGTTTCTTCTTTATATTAAGTTCAGTCGTAAAGGCAGAGATACTCGTTGTCTAACTAATCGTGATGCAACATTCCAAAAAATGGCATGGAAGGTCGAAGATATTAGGTGCATTCGTCGATCAACGTATCTTAAGTTTCTATTGGCTAGCAAGCAAACTTTATGAATCCTTGACGAAGTGACCCACAACAATTAAGCAAATAGATCAAATAAAGTCGGATGAAGGGTGTTGCATAATTGCATGTTATAATGAAGGGCTGTTGGTAAGAGGAAAGTACATCATGTCGTCTATGCGAGAGTTCAGTCTCCCGTCATGGACAGTAATCAATCTGTGGCGGTCTGAGGAAAATGTGTGACCAGTTGACCTCAGTTACACTCCAAATGGTACAACTGTTGGATTTGTAATGACCATTGAACTCGATTGTTCCACAGTTTGTCGAAGAAAATATACGTGAAATTGGATTTCCACATAACCTGACTCGACCTAACCTAGGATGAAGTCGAAATAGACCGACAGATATAGATGTATATATATACTGTGACAATAAGAATTACAAGTTCAACATAAGCTGACTCCACCATATACATAGAGTATCACCTTCTGGTCCGCAGCTGACCAATAAAACAATGTAGTGTCCCCTTCAGTCCTCAGACTATCATTTATGAAATACGCAGGGTATTACCTTCCAGTTCTCACACCGTCATACATACGGTGTTACTTTCCAATTTTGTGGCAATATTTGTTTTTAGAAAAAGTTTTAAAATCTACCGAAAAGCCCGTTTTACGAAAATTAGGATTTTCAGGCTGTTTCACTTAATATTAAAAATTGAGTATTCACATGAAAAACATCAGAACGAGTTCAAAATCTCAGGATATGATTAATGTTGACCGCTAAACGCGATTATAAGATCAAAGAAATCGAAAGCATATTTTTGTTAATAGGTTTTCCCGAAATCCTTTTGGAAAACCTTAGAATTTTGTAAAATTTATTCCGAGATATCCCAGAAACAGGATAGAGAATAGCTTAAATACTCTACATTCTGAAGTTCTGAACTAGTTCTGATGTTTTTTAAGTGAATACTGAATTTTTTTATATTAAGTGAAACAGCCTGAAAATCCTAATCTTCGTAAAACTGATTTTCGGCAGATTTTCAAAGCCTTTTCTAAAAACAAAGATTGCCACGAGACTCAGCATGGTCGCTTATCCATAGTCCATCCGCCTTTTAGGCTACCAAGAGTCACCGGGTGACGGTCCTGGTAGTCACCGGAAATCCGATAGACCGTCCGAACCGCAGAAAATCAAGGTCTCACTTTACTCCTATTTCCAAGAGAACACCCCGGGCTATCAGTCCATGGAAAAAACTGCACTCCTATGTGAATTTCACCAAATCCAAGCTAGTTTTCCAAAGATCCTCTAAAAAATCCGCTTCAGAAGTTTTTCTGAAATTCGCTTTTGCACACTGCAATATTTTATTCAGTTCCGTTTTCTTTTTCTTGTTCCTTTACATCGTTATTATTTATGTATTTCTCCTTTTACTCTGTGTGTGTCTTCCTATGTTATGTTATTCTCTGACTACGTGCGTTAAGTGTGCGTCTTACTTAATTACTATTTGTACTAGCAATTTTCGCTTGTTGAACAGTCAAAATGATGTCATGAGTCTATTCCGCTTTCTTTTTGCCGTTCTATACCTATTCGATGGAAATTCTTTCCTTTTTTTTCTTTTTTACAAATAAAGCTTATACTAAAGGCAACTGATTGAACGAGAAAGATTGTTTAGTGTTTTTTGGAAAAAAAGCGAAACGCGAAGCTTTTTCTAGTTGTTTGAAGAAAGTTTTTTTTCTAACATAAATAAATAAAACCCAAAGAAAGAATTTTTTTATTATTTCTTTTGTTATTTTTCCCATTGCAACACCTTCAGTCGTCAGATCATCATTTTCATCATATATACGGTATTACCCTCCAGTCCTCAAGTCGTCAACAATAAAATACATACGGTATTTGTTTGCTTACTTTTTGAACGATCGTTTTCGGGTGGGTGGGCGTCACTCGATAGAAGATCTAAATCTGCTGTACGGGCACTTCTGCAGCCCCACGTCTCATTCATCTTTCTTTCAGTAGCGTTAGAAAACTAAAAGTATTTGGTTCAGCCGCTAGCGGAAAGTTTACACCGAGACGCTTATCTTGCATTGGACAAATATATGCCGTCGCTTTCGCCTTTCAAAGCAAATTTTGATATGAGATTCTTTCAGCACACTGAATTGTTTGCAGGAGAGCGCCTCGTAAGATCCGTTGGATCTGCTAAGTGCTCGTCACATGCAATCACTTATCGGGACTATAATGCATAAATTCTACC